ATTCCTGAGGAGGAATAAGCCCAGGCATCAGTACATGCTGGGGGCTGTCCAGCTGGAAAACAGTTGGCAGAAAAGGACCTGGGGGTCCTGGAGATCATTAGGTTGACCATAAGTGAGCAGTGAGCCCTTGTGGCAAAGGTGGCCAACAGCACCCTGGGCTGCATCATGCAGCAGGTTGACAAAGGTGCTTACCTCTGCTCAGCACTGATGAGACACTGGAGTGCTGTGTCTGGTTTTGGGTTCCCCAGTACAAGAGAGACTTGGGCTTACTGGAAAGAGTCCAGGGCAGGGCTACAAAGATGGTGAAGAGACTGGACCATCTGTCATACGAGGAGAGATTGAGAGAGCTGGGACTGTTGAGCCTAGAGAAGGTTCAGGAGGCATCTTATCCATGAGTATAAATACCTGATGGGGAGGAATAAAGAAGGTGGAGCACAACTCTTCTCAGCGGTGCCCAGTGAAAGAACAAGAGGCAGTGGGTACGATACAGAATACTCCATTTAAACATAAGAAAGAAAAAAACTACTGAAGGTGAGGATGGTCAAACACCGGCACAGGTTGCCCAGAGAGTTTGTGGAGTCTCCGTCCTTGGAGACATTCAAAACTGAACACAGGCTCTGAGCAACTTGCTCATGTTGACCCTGTTCTTAGCAGGGGAGGTTGGACCAGCTGATCTCCAGAGGTCCCTTCCAACCTCAGCTGTTTCACCATTCTGTAAGAATTGCTCTTTCCTTTCCCAGATTATATTTACATTGAGAGAAACTTCTGGTAAAAATAATGTGTGGTTAAATTTCCTCCAAGAGAACAGGTATGCGAGGTGGGAGAGGATGTGTTTGAACGATGGCAGTACGGCATGCTGTGCTGCTAGTGAGGTGTTCTTGACGGACGAATCTTACTTCTTCCTTTGGGGAATTTTGGAGAAAATGTTTCTCAAATGTATGAGCTAATCTGTGTTTTATTTGCCAATGGTTAATTGTGTACTGCTTCCATATGTAGAAATACTTTTGCCTCCTGGCCTTCTATAGCACATATACAAAGCTAGTGAAGTGTAATTCCCAACTTCTACAACTATAGAGGGAAATATTTTATCTTAAAAATATTGTTAGTAACTAGCAATACCCAGAAGTCAATATCTAAGAATGAAAGTGAATATGAACTTTTATATGCCATCAGTTAAATGTGGCATGTTGTTTGCTGATTGAGAAAGTGCCTGTATTCCTTTCCATGAAAAAGTATTCTGAAAAACAGTTTAAAAGAGTGGAAATAGCTTGTTTAGTTGATTCTTAGTGTCTTTTCACTTGCATGTTTTTGTAAATTTCCCTTGCATATCTCTGTTTCATCCTTTTTATTATTGCTTGTGATGCTTTAAGCATGAAAATCTTGCATGCAAGTTGAGGAAATATGGTGTATATGCTTCATGCTGGTTTTTAACATGGTGTTAGTATTGATAGAATTTCATGAGCAGGATAAAAGTAATACAATGTAACACTTCATTGTTATTTAGCTTTAGAAGTTTAAAGTTGCTGTATTTAAAAAAAAAAACAAAACAAAACCAATATTGGGAATTAAAGCTTGCTGAGTGACTGGGAATGAGATTGCTGCTGGCTCTGCTGAAGTGCCAAATCCTGATCAAGAGTTGGACGTTAAAGTGAAGCTATGCCGATTCCTGTGTGCCCTCCCCTGCCTTCCCCACCTCTGCCTGGAGCTCAGCGAGGACCAAGTGCTCTGCACTAATCAAAGGCTGAAGTTTCATGACGCGGATGTTGTAAATGATTGTTAATTCCAGTGGGTTTTTATGGTGTCAGCTGTTAAATCGTGTCAGAATTGAAGAGACCACAAAAACCAAGGTGGTAATCAGTGATGTAATTTTAAAGGCATGATGTCTTGTGAAATGCCACATCCACACGTGGCCTTACGGTCTGTGAAACAGGGGACATACGTGAGCTGGCAATGCCTTTTCCCTTCGATGAAGTATGTAACTGGTTATAGCAAGTTCCAGGGGATTTCCTGAAAATTGATATGGTATGGTTTCTTTCCCCTTCTAGTTTAAAAAGAACCAAAAAATGTTATCCCTACCATACAAGGTGTTTTCAAATTTTTTTTTTTTTTAAAAGGTACTTCAGCACTTCTCTAAAACACATACTGACTTGTTATTAACTTATTCCCCTACAGGGTGTGATAGGTGTACAGTTGGTGGTTACCATGGTAATGGCTAGTGTCATACAGAAGATCATACCTCACTATTCTCTTGCTCGTTGGCTTCTCTGTAGTGGCAGGTAAGATAAGAAACAGTTGCTATACGGTGTGTGAATATGGTAATGCAATTACGCATTAGAGTAGTAACAGTAAAACATAATAATTTAGGTTGTTTTCTTGAAAAATAATTAATCTGCTGTTCTTAAATTTATTACCATTGTGACACCTGACTTACAGGCTCAAGGTATAAAGACAGTGTTGCTGTAAGAGGACAGACTTGTTTGTTGCTATTAATTGTATCAGTCATAAAGTTAGCTGTTGTCCAGCTCTTGTATTATTAAAGGCACAAGCTACATACTTTAATATTAAAAAGCTAAACTGAATACAAGACACTGAAGAATGGAAGGATTTTTTCTCTACACTGCCTCTGTGTTCTTGATAATCCACCTGCTGATTAGCCTTGCATATAAAGAGTGCTTAGGTATTTATTAAAAATTCTATTTTTTTTCATACTTCATAGAACAGGATTAGTATAAATTTCAATACACTACTTCCTCGTAACAATAGATCAAACAGACATAATGAGTTGCAAGGGGAGCATTCCCTGTGTGGCTGTATCCATAATAACAGCGAAAACCAGCAGCTGTTTTGAATATAAATCAGTATCTTAAATATTAAAAGAATCATAGACACTGTGTTTTTTTCATTTGGGAAGAAGAACATTTTGTATGATTAGAAGGTAGTGTGCTGTCTTTTGTAATTGTTAAAATTTTGAGAATACCAAATCTCTGCTCCCTGATTTCTGAAGGAGTATCCTTGAATAATAATGTGCTCCATAGGAGTCTTAACCAGTCTTGCATAATTTTCCATTGCCTTTTTTCCTCTGCATCTTAGAATTATCAACTTTTTTCTTTTTAATTTTCCCCATTTCATCACCCAAAGAGTTGCTAATGAAAAATGACTCTAAGTGTTGTTTAGAGGCGTGTTAGGTATCGCTGGTTAGGTATAATGGAAAACAGTAGTTGTCAGGTGAATAATACGAACAGGAATCATACTCTTAATTGTTGTGTGAAGTTTCATTGTTGACCACATCTGCAGGGTATTACCTTTTTTGTGCTCTAAAAAGAATATTACATTAATGAATATGAAATTGCATACCGTTTATTTTTAAGGTGTGTTACTACCAAGATGTTTTTTTGTCAGCAGTTATTCAAATGACATTTCTACTTTTTATGTCCTATTTAATTGCTCTTTCTAAAGAATTGTTCAATATTATGCCTGTGTTCTTCATTCTTGTGAAGTTTTCATTTTCTGTATCCTTGTTCTAAGGCATGCCTTGTGCCAATGATAGGGAGAGGTTTGCTGTTCAAATATTTTTCATAATCCTTTTCTCCTTTTATCTTTGCACACCTGCAGATTGATAAATATGTAAAGCAGGATTTCTGCACTTGTGCTTATGGAATTCTGCTCCCACTGAAGTCAATGGGAGTCGTCTTACTGCCTTTCATGTTAGCAGCCTTGCAAATCTCATTGTTGCTTTTCGGTGTTCTTCTATTTATCTGGTAACTATTTTAGTGCATTGTAAAGAGCATTTAGAGCATTGTAAAGTTGCATATGTAAAGAGCAAGAAATAATTCTGTGTTCCAGAAATAAAAACAAGTCAGAAGCTTCACTGCAACAAGAATCTGAATTCTAATGGCAGAAAGAAAAACAGTTCTCTTCTTAGTTTAGCTGACAAACTATCTGTTATGTTAACCCATTTTCCTTAGTGCTGTCTTTTTGCCAACAGTGTTTTCTTTGACAGAGCTGCGTGGGTGGGGTGGTGGAGGGTTTTATACACATGTAAGTGTACAGGCGCAGGCAGACACACTCTTAGGCAGTCCTGCTTTCCTAGGAAAAGTTACTGCCTGCTCCTCCTTTCCTTTGTCAATATACTTCAACTAGTCTTTGGCTCCCAAAACTGTTTTTTAAGTTATTTGGCTTAAGTGTCTTTCTTCCAGAGGGTTGGGAGGCGTTTCTAAGCAAGGTAGTCTGAAATGCCTACAGTCCTTGCCAAACGGGAGGGAGGATAAACACATTACCGGACAAGACAGAAACTCTTATGTGACCAGTTGGTTTCAAGATGCCTGTATGTGTACATTCAAAGTCCATTAAAAGGAAACATAGACACTTCAAAATTTAAAAGAATTCTTAGAGTAGATAGACATAAGATAATACTCGTTTACAGAATGAACAGCTATCATTGACTGTTGAAAAACTATTTACTTAAATTTGTAAATTTTAAATAGCGTTTTCAATCAATGCTATTTTCAGAGCTTGAACAGAATTTGAATATTCATATTTATTGAAGTCAATGAATTGGCAGCCTAAGTATCTGCATAGGCCTTCGCATTTTTAACTAAAAACATTCTCTACCAACATGTTGCTTTTAAGTTGCTCAGCTACGTTCTGTTTTCAGGCCACTTCAGGAAGACAGGAGAAAACGGATGTTTTGTTGTGCATTCATTAATGACCTTCATTCAGATTAACTGGGGCATATCTGTGCTGCTGTTGCTATTCAGACTAACTTGGATATGTCAAAGCTGCAGAGTAATCAGTTGTGGGATCTCAGTTTTAAACATATATAAGCTAAAGCAGATATGAACTACTTTTTTTTAGCTCTACCTTTACGAAAATGTTTGTTCAGATCTCTTGGTTTTGAGATTTTAAATACAAGATGTGTAGGTTTTATTGACTAAAAAACCCCAAACTCTTGTATCCTGTTAGTTGTAATTATGAATCACTTGCAACATAATTCTGCTAATTAAGAGCAAATTGTGGTTTAAGTGTTTGATTTGTGTTAATTATGTTACACAGAACAAGAATTTTGTCTGTTCTGTTGTTATAGGTACTATTTCTCTACCTGTGCAGGAAAGGTTGTGAGAAATTAGCTTCCAGCACAGGTGATTTTCATCATTACAGAACTATTTGTGATACTCTCAGCATGCCGAGTTCAGATCTGGGAGATGGTGAATGACAAAGCAGAAGACTATTTCTCTGCTTTCCCCCACTTTCTCTAGGTCATGTGAAAGATAGGAAGAAGTTAGTATCTCCAATGTAGTTTATCTTCTTGGATGAAAAGGTAGATGCTCTGGTTTTTGTGTGATTCCCAGTCTTAAGAAATTGTCTTTTGCAGCAAGGTTTGCAAACAGCAAATTTTTCAGCTGGGACCACACATGATAAAAATAAATTAATGAAACAAATTTCACTCTTACTTATGCCTCAAAAAACCCCACAAAATTCAGCCCCTCTTCTCCCCCCCCAAAACTGCTTTTTCATGCAAAGTCTGTAGTAGTTGCCATTTTCAGTTTTTGAACTGGCAGTGGATTCCTTCAAGGGAAATTTGCAGCGTGCAATGGTTTGGATCTCTGTGATGGATTATTGGTTGGTACTGAAGTTCTTTTCTCTTGAAGAAATCCCAGCATCAGCTGATTCTTTAGCTCAACAGTACCTACTGACACAGGCTCGTAGAACCCCCTATTAACCAGATTGTGTTCTTTGTAATATTGCTGGCTTGAACTCTTACTTATCCGTTACACCAGTTTTTAAGTTACTTTAAGATTATGTCCATGAGCTCTGTGCAACTGCCTGTTTAATGCTTGATTATACCAGCAATTAAACTGCCAAAACTGGGAGCTCTTCCTGAAATGTGTTGTATTTTTGTCACACCATTTTTCTTCGTTCCCACTTCCCTGTCCTCAGCCAGGTTTAGTGTAGTGTCAAGGACAGCGTCAGGACAGAGGGGCTATGTCTCCTGTTTAACATCTGCCAGGGAGGCATATGCTCAGTGATACATACATTTCATTAAAATTGTACCTATTCTTTCTCGTAGTCTTTGTCCAGTGTCTCTTGCAGCGTGTGTGCACACACGAAGTGTCCATGCCATCGTAGAAGGTAGAAGATGTGTAATATTGCTTGTTGTGGCTGCTTGCATTTAGGACTGTTTCTGCTTTTAGCATGAGTCTCGTAGCAGTGGACCTCCCTCAGTATTTGTTGTGTAGACAATCTTCCATGAAGAATGACAAAATTTTTTATATTCTACATGAAAGGCCATATTCTGCAAATATAAAGATGGGTGGACCAGAATTCCACTTGGGACAGGAAGCCTTTCCAAAACAGAGCTGGGAATCAGGTGTTACCAAGTGGCTTGAAGTTATTTGGGTTTGATGTTTATTTTCCAAATTTGCCTTGCTGTCTTTTTGAAATTGGGTGTAACATAATCTCTAATTTGCCCATGTAGATCTGAATGGTCCTACTTGGTGTCGTTTTCTTAATGTGAGAAGTATTGAAGGTTGTGGATTCCATTATCATCTCTAACTATTACCCTGTGTTAACCCGTGTCACCAATTGGTGGCCTCCTACTCCAGAAAAGTACTTCCATATAAATACAGATAAATTTCCCAAGTCTGTTCCTGTTAATACTTGGGCTCCTTTGCCTCAGCATTTCAGAATGGAGATCAGAGTGACATCCTTCCTGCATCTGGACAGCAACCCTCCCTTGCTGAATGTGGAAAAGGCCTTGTTTCAGCTGCTAAGGTTCTTGACATGCTTAGGGATTAAGGTAAAATGTACCATCTTGGAGACTTAACCATCTCTGGTTTTCCTCTTCAGAATTTCCTTGCCACTGCTTGTCTTTTAAATAAATGAGCAATGGATGGTGCATTGACTTGTGAAAGTGGAAAAACTTGCAGCTCAACTACATGTAAATTAGTGATTTTTTTTTTTAATAGCAGTTTTTCTAGTAGGAGTTGAAGATATCATTGAGGACAGGGAAAGGAATGTTGAAGTTACGGTCTGCTCTGCCTAAGAAGAGACTGGTAAAGGTTATTTGATAATAGCTATTCCAGATTCTGGAAAATTACTGGTTTTTTGAGAGGCATAACTATACTTTATAAAATCATTTAGAATATGGTTCTGATGGGTAATTTTAATGGTATAATTATTCTAGTGAACTTTTTCCAGTATCAGTACAACCTTATTTGCTGTATTTGATTTGAAAATTTGGTGTTTTGAGAAGTAAAGAGCTTTCACTTGAATGACAAAGTGGCAAAGCTTTCTAATTACGAATAAGCATCTCATATGCTGAAGAGAACCGAAGTTTAGCAGTGGTTGTTCAGTTCAGGCAGGGTTGGTACTTGCACAGGGTATTTTTATAACATCATAGAATACCGGGTTGGAAGGGACCTCAAGGATCATCTGGTCCAACCTTTCTTGGCAAAAGCACAGTCTAGACAGGATGGCCCAGCACCCTGTCCAGCCAAATCTTAAAAGTGTCCAATGTTGGGGAATCCACCACTTACCTGGGGAGATTATTCCATTCGCATTGTGAAAAATCTTCCTCTTGTGTCCAATTGGAATCTCCCCAGGAGTAACTTGTACCAATTACCCCTCGTCTTTTCCGTGTGACTCCTTGTAAAAAGGGAGTCTTCATCTTCTTTGTAGCCACCCTGTAAATACTGGAACGTGGTGATAAGGTCTCCCCTAAGCTTTCTTTTCTTGAGGCTGAACAAACCTAGTTCTCTCAGCCTTTCCTCACGTGGCAGGCTTCCCAGTCCTTTGACCATCTCTGTGGCCCTTCTCTGGACCCTCTCCAGCCTGTCCACATCTTTTTTGCATAGCGGGGACCAAAACTGAACACAGTATTCCAGGTGTGGCCTGACAAGCGCTGAGTAGAGTGGCATAATGACTGCTTTATCTCTGCTGGTGATGCCCTTGTTGGTGCAGCCCAGCATCCCGTTGGCTCTCTTTGCCGCAGCAGCACACTATTCGCTCATATTGAGCTTGTTGTCCACCAGGACCCCCAGGTCTCTTCCCACAGAGCTGCTCCCCTACCGGGTAGATCACATCCTGTGCTGCACTCCTGGATTATGTTTTCCCATGTGCAAGACCTTACACTTGCCCTTGTTCAACTTCATAAGGTTCTTGGTAGCCCACTCTTCCAGCCTATCCAGGTCTTCCTGCAGGGTGGCTTTCCTTTCTGAAGTGTGAGCAATTCCTTTGCTTAAGTGTTGCAAATGACCATTGTTTTATTATGCATATAGATCTGTGTTGATATGTAGTTTTTAAAAAAAAACAAACCACTAAATTGCTAATACTGATACTGTTTTACTTGAGATTTTCTTTTTCTTTAGTTTACGGTGGTATCAGCATCCTACTGAAGAAGAACTACGGATTCTTGCAGGGAAACAAAGAGGGAAGAGCAAAAAAGATAGGTAAATACTTGTTTTAAGATTTTTTCTTTTTTCTTTTTTTTTTTTCCCCCCAGTATGATCCATATAATAACTTTGCCAGCTAACTTTTGGTTTTGTGTGAGTTAAAAACTGCTAGTTGCATATGACTGCCCTGCTTGCATTAATTGTCACAGCTCTGTACCGAACTGTGTTCTTTCAGAGAGTCATATCTGCAAATTATGCAGGACTGGATGATTTCCAGCCCACAGAATTGGTCTATGAAATTACTCATTTGGTGGCAAGGAGTTTTTTTAGTGAATGTATTCATTTGGATGAAAACTGAGGAAAGCAAATCTTCTATAGGATTGAAGCTCTTCATCTTGAAGCAAGAGAAGAAAGATTTGAGTATATTAGTTCAACATAGGATTACTGTGAGCCACCACTCTTACACAAGCCGTGAAAAAGGTGAATGTGCTCCTAGGGTGTATTAGGTATTTGTAGTAGAAGAGATAGGGAAATACTAATCCTCTTGGACAAGGCACCAGTGTAGAACTTTATCTGGATTACTGTGTACGGTTCTGATCACTCATGTTCAAGAAAAATGAATTTGTATGTGAACAGGTGAACAGAGGGCTGCTAGGATCATCCAGAAAACAGAAAGTCTGTGTTACAAGAGGAGCCTAAAAGAGCTTGGCTTGTTTAACCTAGCAAAAAGACACTCAGAGGGATGGGATAGCTGTCTGTCAGCTTAAGGTGGAAACAGATTTCTGACATTCAGGCATGAAGTTCTGCAACAGCCTTCCAGAAGTACAACTGCAGCAAGAACCAAGACAGCTTGAGGTCTTGGAGCTGCTATGTTGATGCAAGATTTCTGAATTGGCTATCTTTAAAACAAATAAACAAAGCCCTCCGGCTTTCTTTTTGGTGACATAGGAGCTTTCCTTTAGTCCTTTTTCTTTTATTCCAATATGAACTCTCTTATAATTCACAAACTGCACATATAATCTGTTCATCCTAGTGTGATTTTTTTTCTTTTTTTCCTGTTTCGTAGCTCTTAAGCTACATGGTTAGCAACCTTATTTGCCAGACTTTGGGGTAAAGAATGAAGTTGTTCCTTTAATATTAAATAACTTTAATTTTAGATGTTTGTTGCAATATTCTTTCAAATTCAGAAACATTAATTTTATCTAACAGTTTTCTGTAACAAATTGAGACAAAATAATTGTGAATAGCATTACAATTTATAACTGTCCATTTAACCAGTGATATTTATTCATATGTAAGATTAACTTTATTTACGTAACTATACCTTTAAGTCCACCCATAGGAGCCTTAAACAGAAAAACACAATCACATTGCCAAATAGTAATTGTACATTGCTCTTACTGCCTTTCCTTAGTCTTGCCAGTCTTTTGCCATCCAAAACATGTGTTTTCACTTTCACTGGAGCAATTACATGCTCTCAGCTGAGTGGAAGCATGGCATGTTAATGTGTACTGACATGTAAGCTTAAATTTTGGAAAATTTACTGTGAAATTTAGTAGGAACCTGTATTAGAAGTCACCTATATATACATTAAGTCCTTTTTCAGTTACTAAACTTCTACATTTAATGTTTCAAATGCAATGCTATGTTTTCATGTCTGCGCAGTCAAATTTTATTGGTATGATTTAGTTATTATAAGATTGATATAATCATCTTACTATATTAACATGTAAATTGTAATAGTTGTAGGTAGTTGTTTGTACTAGGGTAAATGTAATCACAGGGAGATACGAAATTTCAAAGAAACCAGGATGGTAATGTGGCAGCTTAAGTGGTGCTTTCTTTGCTTTGCTGTTGTAACAACAGAATGAATAATACACTTATTTTTTAGTCAATAAATATACCTCTGTGCCCTCTGAAGAAGAGGCTGTTGTTGGAGGAGAACCGTGGTTTAAAGTAGGAATTGTTCCTATTGAGTTGGTTTGGATGTACTGTTTTAGGCTGCACAAAACAGAATGCAGTGCTCCTTTGAGCCAAGGAGATGTGAAACAGATGGTGTAGGAGAAATAAGGACACATCTATTTGATTATCCCCATGCCTTTTCAAGATAAAGAATTTGCTTTGTCAAGCCCATAGTCGTGCAATATACAGTACCTGCTCCTTACTTAAATACTTTTCCAATTTGAACTCATTAGAAGAGAAATGGCAGGAGGAGATCCAAGAAACTTGCTTGAAAATGAGCCTTAGAAACAGCTGTAGTGTAAACTTGTAGTCCATTCTATTCAATGCATATTACACTTCAGTATATTATGCTATAGGTTATAATAGCACATGAATTTTAGGCAGGTTTTCTATTTCAGAATTGTTTGTGTTATATTAAATTGTTAGGCTAATGAAAAGGTCTGTGAAAAGGTCCATAGCTACCATGAATTACTTTGAATTAAAGCTGTCAGTGATCCTGGGTATGTTCTGACTCTGTCTCTTGGATTATGGGTCCCCTGGGATAATTAAAGTGTAGGAACACCAAATTTTGTTGAGCTGAAATGGCTTCAGTTATCAAAATGCTCCTCTCACTCAAGATGATGGTACTCCTGGGTGCATGCAGTAGGAAAACATCAAGAGTACAACTGGGGGCAGGGAAGCACACAGAAGCTTGCAAGTGGCTGGGCAGTATTTGGGACTTCTTGTTTAGATTTGAGTGCCTGAGTTTTTTGAGTAATGCTTTAGATTCCTATCCTCAGTTTTCAGTTTGTCCATTAAAATTCTTGTGCTTCGAATGATACTAAAATTAATATTACCTGAAAAAAAAAAAAAAGTATTAATGCTTTCTGCTTCTATTCTCATCTTGCACATTAGCTGAGAGGACATAATTCCTTAAAAATAAGTTCACAATTGATTGAATTTCTTTTTAATGCTTATGTCCCAATGACTTGTCTTTCTATGGGAAATCCACCTCTCCTTTTCTAATTGCAGAGGTGCTATTCTAAAATCTGCCAGAGTTTGTTTCCTTCTAGCCATTTAGGGATTTTAAGTTTTGGTTTTGATTTTCCTTTTTTTTTTTTTTCTTTTTAAACCTAACAAAACGTTTTCTGATCTGCTTTAATGATTTTTTTTTTTTTTTTTTTAATAGTGATGTGGTAAGTTTCACCCTAGTTAGTAATGGTAATCTCTCAGCCCAATTTCATGTAACTTGACTTTGTTCAGGCTCTTTTAAAAGCATCCTGTTTTCTTCGATTTAAAGTCTAGTAGTGTGGCTTATTTTCAGGAAAGTGAAGATCATGATGTTGGTATAGTTTCAGAGCTGCAGATGAAAATGCGCCTTTTACTCAAAATATGTCATATTTTATGGTCTTTACATATATCTCTGCTGTGAAAAATGATTCCTTAAAGATCTGTTAGTTCTCACGAACAATTTGGAAAACATAGTCTAACTTCTTGTACATATAAGACATACTTTTGTCTACATCGTATTTGAAAGGTGATTCAGTAGAACTGGGAAAGGGGAGCGATGGTGACTAGAAGAAAGGCTTCCACGCAAGGAGGAGAAGCGTAAGGCTTACTAGTCTGGGAACTGGCTGAGGGAGGGTTTTGCAACAGTGTGCACAGAGGGTGGGTAGGGAGTAGTAAACTTACTACTCTGTTATACAAGGAGGCACCGGATGACGTTAGTAGAGTAGATTTAAGGACTTCTCCATTTGGGACACACGTTATGGAGCTTGGTGCCACAAGACAATATGCAGCTCATCAAATTTCAGACTGGGTTCAGAAAGGGATTAGGCAAATTCATGTAAGTTTTGAAAAATGATGGTTTCAGAAGATGCAATCCTTGGCTCAGATTATCCTCAAGTTGCTTAATGCTGGAAGCCAGGAAGGGTTTAGCAGTGTGCTTGCCTTATTCCTTCCATTTGTATAAGCAAGCAGCCACCTGTATGATAGGAGCAAATGAATCTGCGTGTTACTCTGTATGAAGCCCCTGTGTTTAGCAGTGGCTAACACCTGGAACACCCTGGTGCTGTACTGCAATGAACTTAGCTAGCTTTGTCTGTCTTCCCAAAGAGAGCACAATGGATTATTTCTTTTCAAGATGTATTGGATATCGCAAGTAATACTGCAATAAATATTTCTTTTTTTTTTTTGCTTATTTTCATAAGCAGGGTGTGAATTGAAACAATGTCTATAGGATTTCTACACTTACCCTTTTACATAAGATAGTTTTCTAAAAATTGTCTTTGCTTGATGGCTAATAGGATGGATGTTTCATGGATCTAGGTTGGTCCAGCTCACGTGACGTACTTGCTAAGCACCCTGTTGTGACAAAAAGGCCTAGTGCTTTTTCGGGAAATTTGTTTTTTATTTTTTTCCTTATCAGCTATCTTCCGAGATAAATTACTGCTTGTTGTTATTTCCAGTGAACGTTCAATTAATTTACATTGCAAAGTCTGTCTGTCTTTTTTACTTACTTTCAATCCAAAGACTTTAACATCTTTCAGCATCCTGGTCTAGACCTCAATTAAAAAGTCTCAGTTTAGCTTTGATTTTCTTTGGGGTATCTGAATAACAGTCTGGATATATTCTGCTCTGTAGGTGTACTAACCTTTTGAGACTGTGGGAACTTACGAGAACACCCTGTAGCTCCCTGAACAGAGAAAATCAGTGGGCTGAAGTAAATACTAGCTACCAGATCTTGCCCTAATACATGCTCAGAATGCAGCATATAGAAGCCATTTAAACCCATACCAGTATGTCAGAGCCTTGCAAGGTAAAGCTAGGAATCATTGACATACCTGGTTGTTTCTCAAGATTTGAACTTGAATTAATGCTTTTAGCTAGCTAGGTAGAAATGTTTGCATTTGGCAAAAAAGTGGTCTGCGCTTTTCTTAAGTTTGAAATGCCATTATATATTGAAAAAGTGTGTTTTATCATATCCATGTATGTATTATCTATTTATTTATTTATTTTTACAGAAAATACAATGGTCATATTGAAAACAAACCCCTAACCATTCCAAAAGACATTGATCTTCATCTGGAAACAAAATCTGTGACTGAAAGGGACACTATTGGTAAGAATAAGTGGATGCAGTCATTAATACGTTATTTCAAATATATCCTGATTCTTTCTATGAAGTGTTTGTTTGCGATGAATGCTGGAATATCTTTTTTTATAGACAATGAATGAATAGAAGTACAGCTGATAATAAAGTTAAGCGAGAAGGCAAGAATTAGGGCTAAGTCTCCTTTGTTGTTCCATGTGACGTCTTATAGCAGTGTTATGTAAAAGGATGAGTAGGTGAAATCCAGCATAAAGCACATCTATTGTTGTATAGGCACCCATAGCAATATGAGACAACACTGAAAGGATCACATCATAGTCTATCTGAAATAGAGATCATAGCTTTGTACAAGAAAATGGTAATTGGCAGGTGTCGAAACATATACTTTCTGCTCATCTAAAATAGAAAATGTACTGTAGCATTGAAACCTAGACCTTTCAATCACACATCTGAAATATTGAGGTAAAATTCTTAGAAACCACTACAGAAATAAGCAGCATTAAGTTTTTTGGAAGTTGCTGGTTTTTTAAAATGGTAATTTTTGATTCCTTAATCATAACTAGTCATTCTGTTACAGAAAACTCATATATGGATATGTATGTATGTGTGATGCGTATTTTCTTCCTATCTACATTTTCATATGCCTGTATTCGATGCATAAATATAGAAAGAAAGGGAGCATAGTCCTATGCAGGAGATTTCTCAGCTTGAATTGTCGGAGACAGTGTAGAAAATACGTTTAACAGAAATGCAGAGTTTTTTTAAGCTGGCATGTAAATAAACGAAGCAGTCACGAAGTTTCAATTAGTGTTATTTGCTTGAAATTATAGCATTTAACTGTCTTCCTGAGTATTTATAGATACTGATACAGTGTAGGGTTTAACTCTCTGTAAAAAGCTACGTATACAAACTTGTTGAATCTAACCAGATAGTTATTTCAAAATAAATATAGGACTTGGAAATACCTGAGTTTGGCCAATTTCATGTGTTAGATATTAGGTAGCTTGTAGTCAACAGACAAATGCTCAGTAATGTTTTGTGACTTTTAAACTGTGTAGATGTAGGGAAGGTGTTTGGGAGGGACAGGCTGCACTTCATTGTCACAAATTGTTCTTCGCAGTTCCCAGCACCTATGGGAGCTCTCTCTTCGTAAATCACCCAGCCTGCATGCAACGCAGTATGATCACCGGAATTTTTACAGTGGAATTTACACAATAATTTATTGCTGTACAGGAGACAGTAACAAAATCTGGAAGAACAAGCCATCAGTATCTTAGATGTTGGGTTTTCTAAAGAAAAAGAGGAAGTGATTATATGTAGTATTTTAAGTGATTGCCAATGAGCTTTTAATCTTTAACAGAGAGTCAAAAGACTCTTGCCTTGAATTGCAGCTAGACTCAACTGGAGAGTTTTCTGTCGTGATGTTGAGATCTAAATTAAGTATGCTTTTTGAATTTAGGATGTTAATGTATAAAAGCTGAGATGGTAAAATAGTAAAATCTTGTAGCCTTACAAATTTGAGTAGTAATCAAGTATCAAATAACAGAAGTTAAGAGTGAAGTTCAGGGTGTTGAATGGAAAAAATGCGGCTTTTTTGCTGTTGTTGCTCTTTACTTGGATGATCTGGGTCTACCTAGATCTCAGTTAATTGAAAACATTTTTAACTGTCACTCCGTTGTATATATGTCAGTAACTGCCTTAAAATATCACACATTTAATATTTGCAAACTTTTATTTTTCAGCATTGCATTATTTTCCGGAATATCAGTGGTTGGTGGATTTCACTGTTGCAGCCACAGTTGTGTATGTGGTGACAGAAGTCTATTACAGTATTGTGAAGCCCTCACAAGAAATGAATATCAGCGTAGTGTGGTGTCTGCTTGTCTTGGCTTTTGCAGTGTATCCTTTCCTGTTTTCTTAAATCGCTCTATCTGTTCCAAATAGTTTACATCATTCTCCAGTTCATATAAAGCTCTGTATTGTTTATTGGCAGGATACAAATGTTTAGCATTTGGAAAAAGGATCGTGTAAGCTAGTGCCGTTGTTGGGTAATGTACGTGCTGTACATGCTCTTTGTACATGTGATATCAATAGCTTGTTAACATTAATAGCAAACTATTTACGGAAAAAATACATGTATGTAAACATACAGTTAGGGCTTATCTGTTGTATGTAGCGGTTCTAAACTAATGTGGTTTTGCTCAGTTCGGCAATCAGAAATAGATTTCTGTACAGAAAGTATTTATGACTTTTGGAAAAGTGTGCAATCTACTGCACACTTTTTGTTTTCAGTATGTTTAATCTGATACTTCCTGAACAAAATAGCACAGTAATGTGTATACTAATTTATTGCAAAGATACATGCCTGAATTCATAATTTTAAAATACATTCAAGACACTGTTAGGAAGTTTACAGAAAATGAAGTGTGTAGACCGTTGTAGGAGCTGAGGTGGTACGTTTGCAAAGCTCTGTGAAAAGTTGAACTCCCCTCTGAAACTGAGGGAAACCAAAGTGTTTAGGAATTAGGAAATAGGCAATATCAAACCATAAAATGAAGGAGCTGTTATGTTTGTTTTTACTGGAGGAGGCAATATCAGACATGGATGCTTGCAGGGTAATTAATTGCTTTCCATGTACCAATACAGACATACACTTTAGGGAGGAAAGTTGCCTTTTAAAAGTGTGATAGGTGGTTAAGCAGTGGAATTGAATAAGGGCCTGCAAGAGTGCAGGTTATGGAAAGGTGAGTTAAAAAATTAATTTCTGCAACTCCTCTGCTGACAGACAGATAAAGTGCTAAGTTAGGGTCGACGTAGCACTCGAATATTCAAAATTGATTCCTCTGTGTAAATGCCTGTTCTTCAGTAGAGGTTTAGTTGATTTTTTTGTTGGGGTTTTTTTTTTTTTTCGGTATTAGCAATAGCTCGTGGTGTTATGTAAAACCGTTGAACTCTAATGTTTGGTTATATTTGGCTAACAGTTCTGGATATGCTTAATGCTTGTTTGTACTTGATAATTATTAAAATGTGTGCTGCCTTTGCAATAAGGACAGGAATTATTTTTCTAAGTAGCCTGAAGTATAAATGATATCCAGAATTTTCCTTGTAATGAGTGAGAACTTGCTAGAAGAGGGAGTCAGCTCACATTATGAAAAAAAAAAAGACTGTCAGTAGCTTCCTTCCAGACCAGGTATTTCTCCTTTGACTTGTCGGTGGGCAGATCCACAGTCCAAAAGGTGTTTTTTCTAGTCTAGTAGGTAATGACAGGAAAGTCGGTGTCTGGCTCTTGTGAACCTCATAATGATATTATAGCTATATTATAGCTAATATATAGCTGTTATTGCACAGCCTTTGTTTTATTTGTTTGGGTGAAGTTAGGAATTCTAGTTTATCTTAGCAGAGGGAAGGAGAGAGTGGCAGGTAGTGCTTAAGAAGTCAGAAATGAAAGCCAACACCTTTGACTCCCATTTTGAGGATGAGGGAGAGGTTAATAGAACTAATAGAAAAACAAGCTTCAAATGCTAAAGCCACAATGTGCTCTTAAATTTATTGGTGGCAACGCCCCATTTGCTTCATCTTTCAAGTCCCGGGTGTAGCCAACTTAAATAATATTACAGGGATTGCAGCTCTAGGTGAAACAGTCGTGAATTATATATTGCAGGAAAATCCACTGGCATAATTATTTCTTGGTGGTATTTGAATACAATCCTAATCACTGCTTTCATTTGGTTATCAATTCAGGGCAAAACCAAATGCAGAAATTTAAAAAGATTAAGTTGCCTGGCAGTGCAAGCTTTCCGTCTCAGTAGTGTGAACACGCAAGTAGCTATTAGGGGTTTTTTTTGACTGTTTCTTTCTCACCTGCCATTTTTATGTGAATTAAGCCTAAACCAACATTTCCAGTTTTATCCTAATCTGGCTGAAGCACTTGAGATCTAATTGCACATTTGGACCTGGAGGAGATTGAAACAGATCTAGTATTCCCTGCATGTTAGAAGCACATTAGCTATATTTTCTCACCAGCGTTCCTACATGGCTGAAGGGAAGTAAGATCAGATAGGATATATTAAAAGCAAAAGATCATGTTCTAAAAGCTAAATTTTATTTAACAAGCTGTGAACAGTTAATTGCATGCTTTAGCATTTTTGTACCTAGGCATGTATTGTCTGAGGGACTAATATTGTTTTGAGTTTTTGGTAATAGGCAGTATACTTTAGAGAGAAAATTCTTAAGGATGTCTGTCAGTTTGTGGGGATGAGAGAAAGGTTAGAGAAGTTAAAGTTTAAAATTCATGTGGCAGTTCTAAAAACATATGCAAATTTGGGAAAGCCTAGAGAAGAACGGCCTGATATGTAGGACCACGCCTTCATAAAGAAATAAATTCTGGGAAATAAGAAACCTGTACACAAGTGTAACCTTGTATAATTACTTACCCAGTACTAGGTAGCTGAACAGTCATTTATTAATTATACAAAGGAAACAAATGGTCAGAACTAGTCTTCTGCCACTTTGTACAACTTTCATTTACTTTTTTTTCTGTGGCATTAAATAGACCTTGTTTTTGTTGGAGGCTTCTGCACAGAGTAGGCGATTTTGTAGAAATCCTTATAAAGTCACTGCTTCCTAATATTGAATAGGGCTTTGCTTAAGTACCTGTATGATTCCTGGGCTGATGGGATGAAGTAGTGTGATCCTGTGCAGTCTGAGCGGTTAGTGGCAGTGCAGAAGGCTGCAGTGCCAGGAAGCACAGTCTAAACTTTGTATTAGAGTTAACATCTCCATAAATATGTTAACATAACTTATTCTGGGCATTACAGCTTTTTGGGTGAAGGAGGAAGGTAGAAAGAGTGATATAGAGAGGTATTGATAACAATCCTTGTGATCGCTGGAACCTAGGCAGGTGAAAAGAGATTTCAGAAGAAAACTGGTTTGTTCATGTGTGGTGACATCAGGCCTCTGGGATGCTGAGAATACTTTAAAACTTACACAACTCTTTACTAATTCAGTATGTCAAGAGCAGAAAGGATTCATCATAATTTAAGTGTTAGAAAAATTTGGTTGCCTCCGTATTTTCAATTGCAAGCAGTCAACGTGATATGTCAAGAATTAATTCTAGAACAATTTTGTTTTGGTGACAGGTGTTTCTTCTGTTTCATGGCTATGTGTTAAGAGGCGGTAGGTTGTACTAAGGATTTGGCTGACAGAATGACCAAAAAAGCTTAGAGAAGTTGGAAGTGATGATTGGAGTTTTTTTCAGTCTTCCAGAAATGGATGTTTTGATTCAGTGCAGTAACCCACTATTAGCATTTTTTAATGTTCATAGTGTAGATATTCAGGAAAATTCCAGAAAAAAATCTAGTCTATACATCTGTGATTTAACAGAAAATTAGTCTAAAAGGAGTAGTACGTAAATTTAGTATTTGAGTTCCAGTGTTAGAGTATGTTGGCATTACGTTGATGGTAGTTGTGCCGGGCACAACTAAGCTAGCTTTAAACATGTTTCATGTGCTAAAATGTTTGTGCAGCTGCATTAGCAGGTACCTCAGTGAAAGATGCCAGATTCTCTTGCCAGACTGGGTAAACTCATGCTCAGCTTACCCACTGTAAGGCTAGGGCAGGAATGTGCGCGTCTCCCTCGTTCTGCTGGACTGCAGTGCGAACAATACCAACCTCACAGTTAGCAGCGTGGGTAAATAGTTCCAGGATAGGGAACTTTCTTATTTTTAGCAGAACAGAAAAATAAATCTTTAAATGGCTAGATAGTTTTGGGAAGACTCAAAGATGTTTCTTGGAGGCAGCATTTAGAAGACCTGCTGTACCACCTGCTCAGTGGTATTATATTATAATATATTGTATATTATTTTATTTTTGAAAGGCTGCAGGATACTGTGTTGGTTGATCACTTTTCATGCTGATAGCCTGCACTCACTGAACAGTTTCCAGTACCTGAAGAGGAGTAACAAAAGATCTTGCCAAACACAGATGTGTTGTTTTTTTTTTTAAGACAGATTATTAGTCATGACCTGCTTGATTGTGAATTTTGGCTTAAAAATGAGTTTTGCAATGTTTCTTGCAAAAGTAATGTTAATGTTTGTGAAAACTCATTGTGATGTAGGCCACAATGTTTGAGTTACTATTTTTTTTTAATTATGCTTTATTTATAGTTTGTTGCAGATAGTTAACTATTCACAGATTGTACTCCCAAATCGTTTCTTCAGTAGGTCCTGAAATGTAGGTCAAGTAGTGAAAGGAATTGATGAAGCAAGCCATAATACTTCAATTTTCTCCATCCCTAAAATAGGTAGCAGTGGTGATTATACAACTAACAGAGGGTTTCAGTCACATATAGTTTGCATAATCATGAATTTATATATTGGGTTCTGAATTTGCACTATAATTGGTATTTATTGTCAGTGTGCTTTCTTCTTCCTGGTTGCATTTTCCACATCCTTTAAGCACAATCCATAGTTGAAAACATGAAGTCTCAAGGGGGTTATAAACCTGTTTGTAGGTTAGGACTATTGATCACAAATTGTTATGAAGTCCTTTGTATAACTTCAAGCTTTGAAATTAATGTGTTTCCGATTTGTGATCGATGTCCCTAGCTGTAAAAAGACACTTGGTTTAAGAATGTATTATTAGAGAAACAGAGCTTTCCAGAACACAGTCTATATGACCTATTATGTACCTCTTTTTAGGATGATGTAAATCTTTCTTTAGATATATCCGTTCTTTCTGTGAACTATGAAGGGAGCTTAAGTTGATTACTGTGAACTTAGAGTTATTAGATGCTGTGCTTAGGCCACTTTATTGTGTGCATATGAGTACCTCTCTGCATATACGTGAAGTACAATGCGTGTGTTAAATATGTGCTGCCTAATGAAGTGCGATATTGCGTAATCATATAGTTTCTTGGGAGATTAACTGATGACTGTTCAAATGTTTCAGTGAATAGATACTCTAAAACATGTTTTCATGTAATGTACATCTTAAAATACTTCCAGTGTTAAAAAAAGCGCAAATATAAATGAATATGTTATTGCATAGTGGAAGAAAAAGGGTACAGTTTACACTTAAATATTCTCTTTCCTTTTTCTCTTTCGTTTTTCAAAGCAGGTAGTGTTTGGAGTGATCTCCAAGTACTTTATTTAAATATGGACTGGATATTGCCTGCTATTTGAAAAATAAATCAATTATAATAGGCTGCGGTTCATAGTAATAAGAATTGACAACATATCATGAAAAATTTATCCTAATCTACTGTTTAATTTTGGAGCTAATTATGTTTAGAAATGTGTTAAAAAGGAGGATACTCAACAAACATTTTAAAAACAGCTTGATGACAGAGCGTGTGATGCCTTAGATGTTCGTATTTGTGGCACTGGGATTACATGAAAGGACTTAATATGTCATACCAGACTATATAGGGGTTTTTAAGGTTGTTTCATTTTTTTTTTTTCCCCCAAGATGAGCACGAGAGAGATTTTTTTTTTTTCCCCTCCCCCTCCTTTCCTAGATAGTACTAAACGTGCTGTTGTTTTACTATCTTTAATAGCTGAGAAATCTCAAACACATGCATGTGAAAGAGAAATGTAAGTTTCATCTTTTCATGTTTTCTGTTCAGTAAAGAGTCATGTAATAATCTACGCAACAATCCTGTGCCATTTGTCACAGTTTCTTGTAAGGCAGGTCTACACTCCGTGTGAGCAGAAATTCTCATAGTTGAGAAATTTTACCCCATTATTGATAGAAGTGCTTGTTGGAACATCCTGTTCTTGCTGTTTATATGTATACCTTAGGATTGTATATCCAGGAGGAACACGTATAGCTCCTCTGTGGTTAAAAATGTGTTCATTCACTTCCCTGCCATCACAGTAGTTGCATTCAAAAGTAATATTTTGGATTTTGAAATTAAGATATATTAAATCTTGAGTTATATAGTTTGATGGAATATTTTTCATTTAGCTCGATATTTTGCATTGAAGATACAATTGTCTTATTTTTTATTTGATGTAATTTACTATTATGTAATCATTTACATTTAAACTCTGGTTTAATTCTCCTAGGTTGATAGTGAATATTGCTGCAACTGACTATAAGTAAGCCTAAATCAAAACTGTACTCCAGAGTAGTGTATTCCGGGCTACCCATTATGTGATTGTTATGCTTTACAGCATTCTGTAATTTTAACCTGAAATTGGCTGAACACGTATTACTTTTTTTAAAAAATTGTGCATCATATAACAGCCCTAGTGTAGATGACCAAAATACAGCTGTATAATTCTTAAATATAGTTATTTTACAAACTTAATTTTCCTTGACATTTTTCTTGTGTAGCAAGGTACTGTTTTCATTGACTACCCATTATTTCAAAGTAGAGGATGGAGGTGAAAGATCAGTCTGTGTCACCTTTGGTTTTTTCTTCTTTGTGAAAGCAATGGCAATTCTCATTGTGACAGAAAACTATCTAGAGTTTGGACTGGAATCAGGTAACTCCTTTCTTTAGTGCTCTAGTGACTGCATGACCTGAAAAATTTATTTCCAGTCTTTTAGGTGTTTTTGAGAATATCGGTGTTAAAATGAACTGTGTTATACACTTCTAAGAAATTTTGCTTTGGAATGCAAATTCTGAAGGATATCCTCTATATTTTCCCTGCTTTCTTTTAAATAGTGTAATCTTTGCCTAGGTTGTTTTGTTAATTATATTTGCCTTCCAGTTTTACATTTAACCCATTTTGTCTTTCATAGTAAAGTGAAGCTCCATTACTGAAAAAAAAAAAAAAAAAAGAAGTACTTATGTTTGTAAAAAATAATGTTAATTTTCTTCGTGTTCCTGAAGTGTACAAATATCAGAGATGCTAATAATCAAGTTGTATTAAATTATGGCATACTAATTAGCACATGAAAGAGCTATGCTAGATGTATGAAAATTTGTTTAAAAGATGACCTGTTACCTAGCATTTTATTTCAAAAAAGGGATTCTGCATTTGTACTGTAATAAAATGTATATATGTGTCTCTGCAGGATTCTCGAATTTCTCAGAAAGTGCTATGCAGTTTCTTGAAAAGCAGGGTTTGGAATCCCAGTAAGTTTCTGGAAATACATTTGTCTGTTTTATGTGTGCATTTATAACTGAACCACTTGGATTTTCTTAGCAAGCATTTGTCTTGCATGTTTTGCTTATAATCTCTGTAATAATGTGAAGAGGTGGGTTAATGAAAATAATTCATCAGTAGTCACAAGTAACTTAAGTTGCATTTGTGTGTTCTCTTTTTAATTTGTAGTTAGTTTTTACACTGAAGTTTTGGTTGTAGTTCATAAAATACAGTTAAGAACTATAAACAGTTTTTTCATGGTAATTCCCTTCAGCTTTGCAAGGATTGCTTAAAACAGGTGATAGGGTTTTTTTTGCCATTCCTGTGGTATGCAAGAGGATGAGTGTGCAAAAGCTACAGTTGGAGCTTGTGATAAAGTTGGCATTAGGAGTAAATTTTGGAGTTCAGTCCTGTTTTCAGGTTGTAATAGTGTTTTCCTATTATGCAAAAACATCTGCTTGCTACAGGACATCCAAGTTTTGTATAGACTGTCAAAGGAACGTGCCATAGCTTGTGGTGTTAGATAAATATATAATCGCTGTTGCAGACAGCCTTTGTATATTGTAAAATGGATTTCTGTTACTTATTCTTTGCTTATACACATGCTCTAAAATGCATTTATGGGGTATGTCATCACTGTGGGAGCGCAACTTTGAATTTCTTGCTCGGAAGTTCCCAAGTATCATGCAGAAGCTATGGAATCTTTATTTTTGAGGAACAGAAGTTTTCTCAAACTAGATTAACGTGTCATTTATGAATAAACTCATGGGAAACCCTTAACTGAATCCCATGTGTTTCTTAGCCTTTCTTCACTCTGCTTTTCCTAAGCTACTGCAAGTTTACTAACTTCGGTATTAATTTTCCTGTTAAGTGTTTGTTTATTTTTAAACTTTTGCAGTGCTTTGGCTGTTTACAGCAGCAGTTGAGTTGATGATGGTGTCTCTTGGCAGCTTATATGACACAGATTAAAGAATCTGAAACTCGTGTGGATCACTAGATTTGTTTTTGTTCCTCTTTAATCTGTATTAGTTACATGTCACTTGTTTTTTTGTGTAATCCAATGTTTGTTAATTCCACAATTCAGTTGATCCTGGATAATTTTTTTCTATAGTTTTTTTTATATACTCTATAGTTCATTAAAACAGACTATATTAATCACTTGGAAGAGACACGTTATTTGGCCACACGTACGTTTTAGGTAAATTTGTGAAAAACTGCAGTAATAAGTTTGATAGACCTTTTTAATGGATAAAGATAGAATGTAAGTAGTATAACTTAAATATCCATTTTGTCTTTTACCAGTTAAACTTATGATGCATCTGTTCCTCTCTTAAAAACCTAATCATGAAATTCATTCTATTAGCTGTTTCTGTTATATAATTTATTGTTGATTACAATATAAAATTATTCTTTTTTTGTTCTTTTCTGCTAACAAACTTAATATCTTATAGGCACTATCTTAGGTTTTCTATTTTTCTAGGACATAAATAGGTGACTTGTTTTTTTTATTTTAACTCCTGATTGGTTTATAATAATGCTGGTATTCCAGAGTAAAACTGTAGAATACTGTTCGCTTTTTTTATTAAATGTTAGATACTGTTGAGTTGAAGTAGTCTCTGATACCCCACGCCCCCAACTTCCTCCCCAAGAAAATGCTTATTTCCTTTCTTTTCTTTTAGGGGTCCTGTGTCTAAACTAACCTTCAAATTGTTCCTGGCTGTTCTGTGTTCACTTATTGGTGCTTTTTTGACATTCCCTGGCTTGCGACTGGCTCAAATGCATCTGGATGCTCTGAATTTAGCAACAGAAAAAATAACACAGTAAGAGAAAATATGTGCACATAGGTATATGCTACTCAGTCTTAAATCTTTAATGTCTGAAAATAAAGCAAACTATTCCAACAAGAAGGTAGTGACTAAGACTTCTGTTGCTGCCTGCTTTTCGTATCTTGAGCAGACTTGCCACCTGCCTCTTTCTGCTCAACCTGTGCTCTGCCAGTCTGTTATATTCTTTGCCTTGTAATTAAGAGTCCCAGTTAAAGGAGCTTTCCTTTCCTCCTGCAAGAGCTCCACCATGAATGATTCTGCTTACTGCTTCCTTTCCCCCATCATATCTTTTTGGAAGTTAAAGTAACTTTCAGGAAGTAGAGGTGCCATCACAGACTTTTTTTTTCCACCCCCACCTCCAAGTGGACGTTATGCCTATAATAAATTTAGGGTAAGATACAAAGAAAAGATGACCCAGAATATTTAATAAAGGTCAGATGTTAATACCGGTTTAAAGGAGTATTTTCATTTTCAGCCATCCTTGAGTTTGGTAGTAAAATGTTTTCTCCGATTTAACTGTTTCTCTTCAGTGTTCTCTGGTTGAGGGAGAAACTCCAAATGTCTTTCATAGATCTTGACCTCTGATGTTTAATACATGTTAATGACAGATTCTGCAGCATAGGCCATTGTGATCATTTAGTCTGGTCACTTTCGTAAGAGAACCGTTATATTTTCTGATACAAAAATTATTTATGTTCAAACTGTTTTTTTTTTTTCCTTTTCCCCCCAAAATGCCCAGCTTAAAAATTAATCTGTGTTTAAAGTGGGTCCTTCACTCTTGGTAAATTTATAACTAAGTACTCTGTGTTATACTTGCACTCACTGTAGTTGAATGCATCCAGGTACAGCTGCAAGCTGTTGGCTTGTTGTATCTGCTGTTAAGTTTCTGTCTCTGTGTAGACTGTGACTGAGTCACTTCCTAATCTGTTCTTTTCAGCTAAATACAGTAAACTGCTTAGTTTTTCATTTTTATGGTTCTCAATATTTTAAAATTTCTTGTGTCTTTTCTGTAAGTATCCTCTCATTTTCCAACATCTTCCTTGATCTGTGGACATGAGATCCTAGGCAGAAGTATAAAATCTCTGAAACAGGAGTTCATTAAATCAAGAACTAGAAGGGTAATTAATATCCACTAGAATCCAGTATGAATAAATTCTCTAACTTAATGTTTAGAGGATATTGGAACTGGTTGTTGAAGATAACTTTGTGCAACACCAGGCAAATTATTTTCAAAAGTCTACCAATACTTTGACTATTCAACTAGAACAATATAAAAATTACATTAAATGGATTAAAACTTGGTCAGATATCAACGTAATTAGGTAATGCAATTATAAACAAAGAATCATTGTCAAGTGATAGGTTCTAATTGGCCTGAAGAGATCAGTATTTGCCCTTAGTGTGTTTTTATCAATGAGTAGCAGATCATTATTGACTGTTTGCAGTTGTTTGACAGTGACTAAAGGGGAGTAGTAAATGAGGATGACATGTCACTGATACAAAGCTCTCTAATTTGGGTGGACGAAAACAATGCCTTTCTCTGCAGTCAAATACATGGTCTACTTTTGGGGAAAAAAAACCCACATCAAAAAACACCAAAAAACCAAAACAACCCCCCCCAAATCCCCAAAGCTGCCCAAAAAAACCACCAGCCCCCAAGCACCCCCAAAAACCAATGGGGGGAGGGGGAGAAAAAGAAAAAAAAAAAAAACCACAGAAGGAAAAAAAAACAAAGGGGACAAGCTCCCTTTCCCATTGCATTACAGAATGGGAGACTTAACTTACAGGAAACACTGACCCAAAAAAAAAGAAAAAAAAGAAAAAAAAGTAAAGATTAATGATGAACTACCACTTCACTAATATGTTCAAAATGATTAATGTGGTTCTTTTATGTATATAAGAAGTAAATGTTTTTTTGGGTAAACAGAATGAAAATATTCTGGTGTCCCTTTTAGTTTTGATAGCTGGTTTGATTTTTTTCTTTAGCAGCAGTTTCCTTCCCTGCATAGATTTTGGAGTCTTAATCAATTTGTACCATTTTTGTACACATTCCCTCATTTTCCAGAGCCTGCTTCAAGAGTCTTTCAGCCTTTCTCCCTGTACTCAAATAAACAGAAAGGGATTCTTGCCACCCTTTGGCATGTTCCAGTCCTTTAATTCAGTAGGATGTCTTAAATAAGTAGAAGCTCAGGTAAAATGCTTTCACAAGTTACTGAAATGCTTTGGACTGTTCTTTGATGCTGTTGTGTTCCCTAGCAACACTGAATGACTAGCAGTGCTTATTTCTTCATCTGAAACCAATGATTTAAATGTGTGTGTGATGACATCTTCTGAAAAATGCAAACATTTTAATGGCTTTAGGAAGCTTGATAGTTTAAAATCAGTAAGGTCTTGTGTTCTTTAGAATAACTTTTGATTACCTCATTTTTTCTATAGCGTAGGAGCACTCTGGTTGGAGATGGGAGTATAGGCAAGCTTATTCTGTTAATGAGAGAGCATTGCACTAGCAAAACCACCAGGTCTACAACATTGAAGTCTTCAACTGTTTTTGTTTTATTTTAGTAATAAAAATGATTGGGATATGGGGTTCAGAAATGAAGGATATTAACTTCAGGAAAAACTCCAGAAAACTATCTCCTCTTCTTAAATTCTGCTGTCTGTTTTGTACTCAAAGATTACAAAAGAGTACTACTTTTACATTAACTGTGCAGTTTTGTACAATGCTTTTAAAACGGAATAGCTGTGCTCGCTTTTTTTTTGGTCCAAGTATCTTTAATTGAATGTAAGTACCAAGTTTCATTTAGTCAAGGTTCCTAAGTAAAAATCTTCATTAAAATGGGAAGTCTGACCTCTGAGAACTGTTTCCCTTGGTCTGTATAGATAATGGAAATTAATCTGAGTACATTTTTAATAAAGAAAAAAAATAGTAATATAGCAGCATATTTCCCATAATTATCCGAGATGCTGACTCCCTAGATTAAAACTGTGCAGTTTGGTGTTATGCCATTGTATGGAAGTTTTCAACAACTGTCTTTTACTGTAGTGTGGCATAATGCACGTAGCACCTTTGGTTGGATTGTTTAGAATAAATCAAATTTTCAGATATTCTAACAGCACTTTTTTAAGCCACAACCAGTGTGATTGCACAGTATGTACTGTTACTGTTTTGTTGAAATGTAAGTCATACCTATAAAATAGCGAAGTAATTTTCTTGTTTACCTTTCTCTCAACTATTTTAAAATTTGGATTTCTCCTTTTGAATCTGTACCCCTAGTTTCAACAGTATGGTAATTGTTTGTATTTAATAACTTCCCCCCTTTTTTTTTTTCTTCTTTCAGAACATTGCTACATATAAACTTCTTGGCACCTTTATTTATGGTTCTACTGTGGGTAAAACCAATCACTAAGGACTACATTATGAACCCACCTTTGGGCAAAGAGAGCGTCCCTTTGTAAGGTTCCCTTTAAAAATTCTTTCTGGGGTATTGAGAACAAAACCATAAGTCTAAGTAGTTTCCTGTGAAAGACATAGGAGCATGGAAGACTTAAAATTTAATAGCATTTGCTGTCAAAGGTATTGTGGAAGTTGCAGCTGAGCTCTAAAGAGCTGCTGTTATTTCGGAAGGATGAGACCTAGTTGCAGAGTGTTGAATGTTAAGGTGGTGGTTCCCATCTCCTTGGCAGTGATGCGTTGTTCTTCCTAGGGGTGGAACGCCACCTCACTGCTACCTTCTAGAACCTTGTATTTTACATATTGGTGTAGGAGAGGAGTGGTTTCACTGAAGACAGTCGAGATACACTGGCATGAGAACTGACCTAAGTGATTGTTTTAAGATCTATGGGTAGATGAAGTGCATGTGGAATTGATAGCTAAAAATTTAAAACATAAAAAGGGAAAAAGAATTTTCAGGAAGAGTGGTATCTGAAATAAATATTTTATAAGTAGCATAGGTGATTGTCATTATCGGTGTTAGTCTAGATAATTCAAAATAGTAGTATTCAAATAGACTTGAAACAGATATGATTGGCTGACACTTCTATTGCTTGCTAGATCTAAGATATGCTTCTAAGGTGATTCTGTGACCACTGAACTATTACATAAAACATTGGAAATACACGTATTTTGTGCTTCCATTTTGTTCCTCAGTTTATCTTAAAATGAGGGTTGTGCTATAACAGGGTATCTAAGGCAACTGAAGTACACATTTGCTATTTAGAACTGTGTGTCTCAAAACCTGTAATTATCTGAGTGAGCTTGTTTTTTAGTGTCCTGTCTTCATTACTCAGAATCTAAGCATTTAAGAGCTCTTCTTGTTTACAGACAAAGGGATACTAATTTGGATCTAATGATGTAATAGGGCTACTAAGAAGTAGCAGTAGAGAGAGAAGTGGAGGGCAAAAGTGAATATTACTTGCACATGAACTTCATAATTGTAGATTGTGCATTAAGTATTTTTGACAATATGCTTCAAGATTTCTTTACAGATGATACAAACAAATAACTCTGTAGCAATGGGTGACCTTTGGAAAACAGCATTATCCTTTTTTTTTTTTTTTATCCACAGAATGTCAGAAGATACGTTTGACACTGTGAGATTGTGGATTATAATCCTGTTGTGTGCTTTACGGTTGGCTATGATGCGTCATCATTTACAGGCCTATCTGAATTTAGCCCAGAAAAGTGTGGATCAGATGAAAAAGGAAGCTGGCAGAATAAGTATGGTTGATTTACAGAAAATGGTAAGTATGGTGGCACTGAGGTTACATATTTGGAGTGCTCTGTCTCTACAAATGCTTTTTTTCCGGTTACGTCTTCTGTGGCACCACAGCTGAAATCTGAATGAAGCTTCCTAAACTATATGTCCTATAAAAATATCACCATTACAGAGAAATTCTGCAAACCAAAATATGCAGAGATGTATCATCCATATTATGCAGATGGCTTGTCTTAAGTTACTCGGAAGCTGTTATAAAAGATCCCTTCATGAATTGTTCTTTACAAATATGTACAAATATAATGTGTTTCTGTTCAACATGAATAGATGTTGGGGAGTGCACAGGGTGAGTGGTGATCTGTAGCTACAACATGGGGAAGAAAAAAGAAGTTGAATTTAGATAGAAGGGTAAAATACTGTTACCTAATCCTAACTATGATTTTTAAATTGAGGCAAAATTTAAGATAATATTTTGGGATAAAATGAGACATTTAATTCTGTCAGGCCACTCTCAAGTGCACTAGCTGGCTTACAAAACTGTCTGCCCATCTTATTACTGTGGCAAAGGAAAAATTTCTTTGATTTTTTTTTTTTTTTAAGGAAAAGTAATAAACATACCATCAATTAAGGAGGAGGACGTAGAGGAGGTAGACATTCACAAGCTTGTTGTAGAATGGTGTTGCGTGTTGCCTGCAAAATAAACTTACATTTCTAGTGTTGCATGATAGTGCTGCCTGATGATCCTGCTGAGTTGGGGTGTATTGCAGGAGGAATATTGAAGTATGCCATAAGACAAAGATTATTCTCTTAAAATCGTCACTATTACTTATAATCTTACCATAGAATCATAGAATAGTTTGGGTTGGAAGGGACCTTTAAAGGTCATCTAGTCCAACACCCCCTGCAATGAGCAGGGACATCTTCAACTAGATCAGGTTGCTCAGAGCCCTGTCCAACCTGACCTTGAATGTTTCCAGGGATGGGGCATCTACCACCTCTCTGGGCAACCTATTCCAATGTTTCACCACCCTTACCGTAAAAAATTTCTTCCTTATATCTAGTCTAAATCTACCCTCTTTTAGTTTAAAACCATTACCCCTTGTCCTGTCGCAACAGGCCCTGCTAAAAAGTTTGTCCCCATCTTTCTTATAAGCCCCCTTTAAGTACTGACAGGCTGCAATAAGGTCTCCCCTGAGCCTTCTCTTCTCCAGGCTGAACAACACCAACTCTCTCAGCCTTTCCTTGTAGGAGAGGCGTTCCACCCCCCTGATCATTTTTGTGGCCTCCTCTGGACCCGCTCCAACAGGTCC